ACAGTCTCATGCTCTCCACATTTGTTTTGAACCAGCATCTCACGGTCTATTGCAGGCTGACTTCCAGTACAACTCTCTTGGTTCCCTCCCTCCTTCCCTTCTTCCTTCCTTCCTTTAGAAAAAGACTCCCTGTATAGACTATGCTACATACAACACACTGTATAGTCAGTCCATGGTGGCTCCAACTCTCAACAATCCTCCTGCCTCAACCTCCTCAGATATCTTTTTATTTTAGTATGCAGTTTTTCCAGATTGGCCGAGAGCCTCTTCTGCTGTAACTTTGACTTATGTCCATCGCTGTATTTCCAGATTTGTCTTGTATTTCCTTTTTAAAAAAATAGTGTCTGTGTGAGTATGTGTCTGTGTCTTTGTCCACAGGTATGCATGCCCATAGTTTAATGTGCAGGCAAAAGGGTACCAGATCCCTTGGAGCTGGAATTACAGTCTTGAATTATAGGTGTACACCACCATACTGTCTCTCTAGGTTTTCCTTTCTCTGGTGAAAGTTTCCCCATCTTCTTACTCGTTGTGATCATTATCTCTCATTTAATCATTTCATTGAACAGATTAAAAACCTCTTTAGGTGCTCTTCAAGTAGGTCATTTTTTATATTCTTTCTTCTTGACTGCTCTTCAAGCGTGGTGATTTTTATGTTATATAGTGGATAGTGTAAATGATTCATTGTAGAAACTCTGAATCTGCCTCTGATTAAAATACCAGCAGCTCACCGGCCAGTGGTGGCTCACGCCTTTAATCCCAGCACTCAGGAGGCAGGGGCAAGTGGATCTCTGAGTTTAAGGTTGACCTGGTCTACAGAGCTGGTTCCAGGACAGGCTCCAAAGCTACACAGAGAAACCCTGTCTTTAAAAGCAAGCAATAAATATTAACAGCTCAGTGTGACCTGTGGAGCCTTGGCCTGACATCTGAAAATGACAGGTGTGCTTGTTTTACCCATACATCTAAATCAGATCCCTTAGACCTAGATCATTTTATCATCTCAACTTCTGGTCTTTTTCAGTGTCTTGAGGAAGCCCGAGATCCGTTCTGTATCCCATTAATGACGTGGGAATCAGATCTGAATTCTTACCTGTTCTCGTGGGCACAAGCTGGAGTGGTGGCTCAGCTCCTTCAGCCTTCCAGCTGCTCTTTCCATTGAAATTCTCAGTCGCCCCTAATGTGTGTCAGTTGGGGCTTAAACATGGATTTGAGGAGAATTTAAATGTATTTTCTAAGACCTCTTCTTTCCCCTATGGTTCTCTCCACTGTGGGATTTCTGTTCTCAATTGCCAGCCACTGTGACAGTCCTGAACTCCGTGCAGGCTGTGGCTTCCTAACTCTGTCCTCATCTCCACCTTGCACTGACTGACTGTTTCCCCTCGCTTGCTTCCAGGGGAAACACACTCACATCCATCTCACCCAGTGTAGTTCTTTCCAGTGTCCCCTCCCTTTTCTACCAGCTTGTCAGTCTTCAGTGCCTCACATAGTTTCAAAAATATTTTACTTTAGTCACGCTGTCATCCAGAGGGAGGTTAATTCATTGTAACATTTCTGCCATTATTGGGATCAGAGTTCTTTTGTTGTGATCCTCTACCCCCTAGCCTCCCGCTTTTTACATGGTTCATGTAGCTAACTCCTAAACCCTGGGATTACAGGCATGGACCACCAACCATCCTGAAAGAATCAGCTTCTCTTCCTTAAAGTTTTATTAGTTTATTCAGTAAAAGTTTATTATCCATGTGTACTTTTTAAAATATTTTATAAGAATAATTTTAATGGGACCAGATAGATGGCTTAGGAGTTAAGGTCACTTGATGCTTTTGGAGAGGACGCAGGTTCCGTTCCTAGCACTCACTTGGAAATTTACAGCTGTCCATAACTCTAGTCCAGAGGCCCTGGTGTGGCGTTCTGGCTTCTTCAGGTACCAGGCGCACATACACACGCATTGTACATGCAGGCAAAACACTCATACGCGTAAAATAAAGAAAATTTTTAAAAATACTGTTACTATATGTTGAAATAATTTTAATTTAAATGGTAAATGAATAAAACGAGAATATGTTTCAACTTGTTTAAAAAATTCATTTCATAATATTGTTAGGGAGAACTAGGACTACAGATGAAAAACTGGTTTTTTTTTCTACCAATATTTTGAAAAATAATAATTGGCCAAAAGCAAATTTAAGATTCTGTTTATGATTATAAAAGACAAGTGAGTGGATAAATAAATGTGAGAAGACACCACAACTCTTCACTATAGGAGGATTCCAATTTATAAAAATGTAGAAGGAAAAAGAAATTTAAGATTCACCATTAGAAAATTACTAGACAAGATACTTCAAAGGATACTAGAATTAGAAGGCATAATTTAAAGTAGAAACTATTTGCATACCTGCAATATTTTCTCTGATGTATTTAATAATTCCCAAAGGGGAAATTACACATTCATGGTAGGGCCCTATGATCAAGACAGATATCACCAGAACTGTTGACATACCTTGATTTGATGCCCTGAGAGGGAAGGACCTGTCATCTTACTCGTATCCTTCAAATAATGGCCTAGTTCTGGTCGTGAGTTGAGGGAGATCCTATTGATTAACTGATTTAGAAGTGTCAGTCATGAAAGACAAGAGAAAGTAAGAATGTGTGCCAGGTTTCAGAAGACTGAAGGGGTATGACAAACAGGCACAAATAAAGCTCCTGGCAGGAGGAAACTGACCTGAGTAAGGCCTGCACTTCATATAGTATCAAATTCACACACCCCTTTTTAATTGAAGAGCTTATCTTGAGAAGTGGCTCAAATGGCTAAGAGCACTCACTGCTCTAGCAGAGGATCCAAGTTGGGATCCCAACTTCCACATCAGGCGGCTCACAAATGCCTGTGGCTCCAAGGTAGTGGTTTTCAACATTCTTAATGCTGCAACACTTTAATACGGTTCTTCATGTCATGGTGACCCCCAACCATAAAACTATTTTCATTGTTACTTCATAACTGTACTATCACTACTGTTACAAATAGTAATGTAAATATCTGTGTTTTCCTATGGATTTGGCAACCCCTGAGAAAGGGCCGTTCAACCCCAAAGGCGTTGTAACCCACAGGTTGAGATGCACTGCTCCAAAGGAGTCATACACACCCCCTCTGACCTCTGAGGCAGAGAGGAGACAGACAGACAGATGAGCACGCACACGCACACACACACTCTTAATCTTTTAAAAAGATTTCTCTCCCAAACACCCGTGTAGCTGGGTTGGCCTCTCGTATCCATCCGCTGCTGAAGTGCTGGGTTTGTAGGTGTGTGCCACCATGCCTGGCTCCAAGTTCACTTCCCAGGGTGTTGTGCTGTGGTGCTGGAGAGTGAACTTAGCACTTAATGTTAGGAAGTGTGTAGTCTACCACTGAGTTACATCTGCAGCCCTGAGCTTCTTAAGTTTTGATAAATGTTCTCTAAGTTAAGAAAGTGCAAAAAAAAAAAAAAAACTTTGTAACTTCTGTAAATCTGAAACCTGTCTTAATTCGTAAGACAGAGTTTTTAAAATTAATGTTAAGTGATTGTTGCTTAACTGTCGTCATCTTAATTCCAACACAGAAATTTATGTTGGTTCTCAAAGACCATTCCCAGGCCAGCAGTGTCAGCGTCTGCTTAGAAATTGTGCTTCAGCAAGCGTCTCCCCTCCCCAGGTGATTCTGATGACACACACAATGACCTATGGTATAGATTCTGCACTACCCACAACAACTCAAGATTGAAAGCACACCCAGGGGCTGAGGCAGGAGGGATTGCCAAAAGTTAAAGCGCAGCCAGGACTATATTGTAAGGTTCTGTCTCAAAAGGGGGAAAACTGGGGTATGGAAAGGCCTTGGAGGTTAAGAGCACTTACTGCAGCTGGGTGGTGGTGGTGCATGCCTTTAGTCCCAGCACTCAGGAGGCAGAGGCAGGCGGATCTCTGTGAGTTCGAGGCCAGCCTGGTCTGGGGGGTTCCAGGACAGCAAAGCCCTGTCTCAAAATAAATAAATGAATGAATGAATAAACGAATGAATAAATAAGCAAGCAAACAAACAAAATCTCGAAAAAAACAAATGAGCAAGCAAACAAACAAATAAATAAATACACGGATGGATGGATGGATGGATGGATGGATGGATGGATGGATGGATGGATGGATGGATGGATGGAGGGAAACTCATTTTAGCCATGCATGGGCAGTGCATGCCTTCAGTCCCAGCATCAGGAGGCAGGGGCAGGTGGATCTCTTGAGTTCCTGGACAGCCAGGACTACACATAGAAACCCTGTCAGAAGGGCAAGGGGATAAAGCATTTTTCTCCGTGAAGGAAGACTGTACTGTAATCAGTATTTGTATCCATTTCCTAGAGTTCTGTTTTTAATTTTCTTCTAATCAGGCTCCCAAGTATACTTCAGACCTACTTTCTTTTATTGTTTTTCTGTTATCCAGCTCTTTGATCCGGGCTGGTTTGGAACTGGTTGTATAGCCTGGTCTGGCTTCCAGTTCACAGTCTTCCTCAGTGATTAGTTTACAGGTGTGTGCCACTATGTCTGGCTGATAATTAATTGCTGTTTTAAACAGACTATGGGTTCTTAAGTTTTACATTTACTTTGTTATTTTATTTTCTGACACAGTATCACTGTGCTGCCCAGGCTAGCTTCAGACTTACTGTCTTCCCACATTGCTCTCTATAGTGCTGGGATTATACCACATCTGGTTAAAGTTTTCATTTTAAAAGATGTTGTATATCCAATCCTTTATCTCCCATTCATACTGTGAATTCACTGCTTGCTTGCTCATGGGCACACCATTGGCTTTTATGGGCTCCGTCCTGGCCTCCTCTTCACTTCTGGGTCCCTCAGCAACCACAAATTTATATATAGAATTGTATGTTGATTTAGAGAAATAGAAGAGAGTGTGACAGCTATGTATGCCAGTATTTCAGTACCTAAAACCAAAACAAACATGATTTTTCTTTCTTAAATTGTTTCTACAGACTTACAATAGCTGTGCCAGGCTCTGCATAAACCAAGAGACAGTATGTCTGACAAGCACTGCTATGAAGACTGAAAATTGTGTGGCCAAAGTAAGTAACAATGTTCACCAGTTAACATATCACACTGCGATGGTGCTACTTCTGTAGATGCTTTTATTCAGGGTTGTTACCACAGATTCTTGTAAGAGCACATATTAATGAAAAGTATAAGCAGGCACCACTTTATACAGAGTGAACTGAAAGCTGGGTTTTCCTTTTCTTGTTGCAGCAGAGTCTTTTGATTATCCAGTCACACCGATCAGTAAGATTTATATAAGATAACAGTTTGTTTTGTAACTTCCTTTGTGGTTTGTTGTCGTTCTTTGTCTTGATTTTTGGTGTTTTTGAGACAGAGTTTCTCTGTGTAGCCTTGACTGTCCTGAAACTCATGATGTAGACCAGGTTGGCCTTGAGATCTGCGTGCCTCTGCCCCCTGAGTGCTGGGATTAAAGGCCAGCACCACCATGCCTGGCCTCCTTCAAGTGCAAGTGTAGCACACCAGAGATACACTGATGGCGGTGTGAGCAGCGTGTGTGAGACAGAGATCCCAGGTTATGCTGTGCCACTGTTTCTTAAGAAATGCCTTGTTTAGTGATTTTGAGTGGAAACGTGTATTTAGCTGACATGGGCCAAGTTTTTTATGTATAAATGTGTGTTATATTTCTAGATACAAAAATAATGTTAAAAATTAGACATCTTCAGGGCTGGAGAGATGGCTCAGTGGTTAAGGACTGCTCTTGTAAATGACCTGGATTTACTTGTCAGCACCACACGATGGCTCACAACCATCTGTAACCAGTTCCGGGGGCCCAGTGTCGTCTTCTGGCCTCTGTGACCATTGCATGCACATGGTATGCAGACATACATATGGACAACAAAACACCCATACACAAAAATTTTTATTTAGAATTTTTTTCCAATTTTCTAGATTGACTAGGGATAGCTTTTTTGTTAACTTTACTGTCTTGAGGATAATGTTCAGTATGGGTTGTATTTCTAGAGTTTGTCTTCATTTTTATATAAAAATAACCTTTATTACCATTTAGGGGGTGGGTTTTTTTTACAACTTCCCCAACTTTCTGCTTCGTCTCTTGTGTTCTATGCAGGCCCTTACTGTCATTATTAGAGATAGGACTTTATGTCATGTAGATTCCATCTTTGTTATACAATTCAGGAAGAACTATTTTACTTCTTTGTGTTATTACAACAAAAAATAGACAAGGTAGCTTATAAAACAGTGTCTTATTTTTATAGTTCTAGAACTGGGAAGATCATGGTAACAATAGATTCAACGTCTAGTTGGAAGTTCACTTTTCTTCATAGGTGGAACCTTGCTATAATCTCTGGATGGAAGGGATGAGCCAAGCCCTCTGGCATCTCTTATTAATCTGTTCATTCATTTACTTATTGCTTAGGGCTCTAATTCTGTTCATGAAGACTCTGTTCTTACACATTAGGTGGTTAGGGAAGGACACGATCATTCAGGACGTAGGAGCAACAATAATTTTTATTGTGTTTCCTAAAATAGATGGTAATTTTTGACCTTGCTTTATTACTGAGAAGATACAGCTTATGGCCATTGGACTTAGCCATTTGAGAAATGTCAGAATTTATTTTATATTATAGCTGCAAATGGTAGGTTCATCAAATTGTGCCTTAAGTTCACATCTTAATTTGCTACCAAAAAAAAATGAGGAGTAGCATAAGTTATATTTAATTTTCAGTTACTTAGTAACAGTTTTGATCCTGTTTTATATCTAGTATTGGGGTATAGAGACCCAAATCAAGCAAGTGTTTCAGTTCTTTTTTTGACATGCTACTCTCACTTTCATCAAAAGTTACTTCTGACTAAACAAGGCACAGCCTTCCCATGACCACCAATCCAAGGACAGGGCGACAATTTTAATGAGTTTCTTTGAGAGCTGGCCAACTGAGCATCTGTTCCTTTTGTTTTCCTGTATGTAGTAAGCCAGTATTTCTACACTCCTCAGCCGTGTTGCTGTGTGTACAGCGTGGGGTGGGTTTGTTTTTGTTGTTCTTTTTTTTTCCACCCTCTACTTCAGTGGTGCACAGTTAGAAATCTTCTGGCATCTGGCGTGGTGGTATAATTTCTTCCGTGCTCTTGGGTGAGGAAATAAGTTGCTCGTTGCTGCTCATCAGTCTGTTTCACTTGCTCCCAGATGGTGACCTTCTCATCCCATTCTTGCTTGTTTTAGCACTATACTGACACCTATCTTCTTTCATTGTCCTCTTAACCACTCCAACTGAATAATGATTTCTATAATTTCCAGTTGGAACACAACCAGCTTCCTGGTTCCTTTTATTGGCCCACATCCTGTCTTCTAGTTCATTGCTTCAAATTTGAGCCAAATTATCAAATAAAAATATGTAACTGAAAAAAATGTTTATTGCAGTGGCCTCCACTAGCATGGCAACAATGAGAGTTTTCCTTATTGCTAAACATGTTATATTTGTCTCATGATTTCATGCTGTCTCTCCTGGCCTCATTTACTGCTTGACCTTTGAAAGAAAAGACTCAAAGATATTTTTGTAGATGTGTAAGCATTTCTCTCGTTCTTGTCCTTCACCCTTAGTTCTTCAGTAGTTTTGTCAGCCACACTGATGTGGCTGTGATGGCTTTCCTTCAGAAACTGGCGCGAGCGTGTGAAACTGATTCAAACTGGTCTCCAATGTGGCCTACATGTCCACTGTCCCCATGTCAGCGCCACTGTAACACAGCGAAGCCAGCCTTTTTTCCCCTTATGGTTCAAAGCAACTGAATTTTGGTCAGACCCAGAGTAATTTTGGTTTGGGTATAATTACTAATTGTAGTCTTAGACCTTTTGATTAAGTATTACTTGTTTGCATTTTACAGAAGGCATTGGTCCTTCTCAAAAGCAGAGATGAACCCTATAGTATTTTGTGTGTAGTTTTCCCGTGCTGGTTGCTCTGTATGGAAAGGACAGCCCCTTCCAGTCTTGATAGTGTTAGGAAGCACAGCTTCCTGCCTGAGGGTGACAGCAGTCTCCTCAAAGAGTTCAAGAAAAACATTTAAAAATAAAAGTGGGAGGGGTCCAAATAGTATCTGAAGTCATGAAATGTCTTGAATATAGTTTGCCTTTTCGTTTCATTTTGTCTGTCTGTCTGATATAGCTTTGGCTATGTCAACCAAGGCTGTCTTTGAACTCACAGAAATCCGCCTGTGTCCACCTCCCAAGTGCTGCGTGCGCTACCACGCCTAGCTAGTTTGCCTTTTAGAGCATCTCCTCTGCTGCTCACAGCCCTATGTTTATTTGTTTGGGAAACATGATGAGCTCTATATTTATTGTAGCTTTAAATGGACAACCGTTATTGACTTTCAGTTTAGTCTTTAAAATCTATAATCACATTGTACCTAATTGTCAACCCTCATGGTTTTTAATTATGAAAGAAAACTGAGAACATTAATTTTTGTTATCTTGTTATTGACTTCATTGAAATACTACAGAAAATTTTGGTGTGAGGCTTTTCCATAATTTACCTTTACACCTCTCACCCCTTCATAATCATGTATAGTTAAAACTGAATTGTTTGGATACCTCTACCTTGATACCTGACCTAGATTGGGAAAGTTCTGTCTTTATTTGGAATAGGCCCATCAGTGGTCTTGTGTACATTCTGTATTTTTGTTGTTTGTTATTACCGTTTTTTACTTGAGACTAATAATCTGTTTGAAACTGACTGAGATAGAAAGATGTGATGTTCCTTCCCACTCACTCCGGATTTTGATAGAAGACTTGTTTTATTTATTTCCAAAATTATATCCGCAGGAAACAAGCTGTTTAAATTCAGATTATGCTGAAGCAAAATGGTCCTGGTATGAGAAGCAACGTGCTGTTTTACGAGCACAGAGTCCCTTTTCTCATAACTGATTGATAGTAAATATTTTCCTGAAGAATTATTGCCAACCATGAACAGTGCAACTGTTTCACTTTTTTTCCGTGCTACTTGCTGTACCAGCCATTGTCGGTAATTAAGATCTACAATTCACAATGCAGACGTTTGCACTTCCTCTGGGTCTGCGCTATTTATAAGGCGTTTCAGCTGTTCAGAGTTTCTTCTGAGTTTTAAACTACATGTTAACTGGCTCCTTTAATACACTGTTCCACAAGCCGGAAGTGAGATGTCTGCTGTGCACACAGGCCCTTCTGACAGATCTGCAGTTAGCTTGTGGTGAACACAGCAAGATGTAATTGTGATTGGGAAAACTAGGAGGTGTAACACTGTTTTAAAGAGGCCAAGAATGAAATTCAGAATTAACATCTTTTCTTTCATCCTTAAATGTTCCATTAATTTGATGTTAATGGTTACCAAGGTTTTAAGAAATATACAATAAAATGATTTATATTGGCTAAATTCATATATTTGTCAGATTAAGAATGTGAAAATATAGTCTCTGTAGTTGTACATGTCTCAAAAAACATGGGACTAAAAGGATTAGCAGATTGGTAACACATTTGTTGTATGACAGAACCTGAAGTAGGATTTATCATTGATAAGGGAAGTGTCAACAGAGAGCTTAGTCGGTGTTAAAATCGGTCAAATTCAAATTGTTTGGAATCCAAAAGAGAATTGATTTTAAGAAGTCCAGACTCATCCAGGGTTCCTCACAAATGATGCTCCAGACTCAGAGTTACTGTGCAGTCTTGCTGCCACAGGCACTCATTGTTAAACACACAAGAAGAAACAAGAAACTGAAAGCTGTCAACAAAATGTGTTTAAAACTTTGCCTGGGGTGGAGCTCACCCTGGTTGTTGTTAAGCCTGGAGTCCAGCTGCATTGATTGTGCACACTGGCCACCAGCATCTTCCAGCAGAGTAGATCTGCTCAGAAAGGCAGAACGTGGGTGTCATTGCTGCTCCTTGATGGTCTTGAATAGAGACAGAGCTCCTGAGTAAGTCATTTCAGGGCAGTTTGGTCAGGACCAAAAACTTTCTCAATTGTTTTCAACTCCAGTGCTTGTGTAAACTTCTCTTTCTCAGTTTCAGCTGTTGGGAGCCACTGATCTATCT